AGAAACACAGCGAGAGAGGGAATACAAGCAGGGGGAGTGGGAGAGGGAGAAGCAGGCTTCCTGCTGAGCCGGGAGCCTGATGGGGGCTCTATCCCAGGACCCCGGGATCATGACCTGAGCTGAAGGCAGACGCTTAACCGACTGAGCCACCCAGGTGCCCCTATTTTCTTTATTTTAGGGAGAGAGAGTAAGCGCATGTGCGAGCTGAGGGAGGGGCAGAGGGAGAGGGAGAGAGAGAATCTCAAGCAGACTCCCTGCTGGGCACAGAGCCCAATGCAAGGCTCAATCCCAGAACCCTGCGATCACAACCCAAACCAAAACCAAGAGTTGATGCTCAACTGACTGAGCCACCCAGGCATCGCAGGTCATTGACATTTCTGTATAAATTTTTGAATCATCCTGTTAATTGTGACACAAATTGATTGGAATTCCAATTGATTGGAATTCTATTGAATTTATACATCGGTTTAAGGATAAGTAATGTACTAAAAATAATGAGTCTTCTGATCCATGAATGTGTTTGTTTCTCCATTTATTTAGGCCTTCTTAATTTCTTTTAATAACATTTAGCTTTCAATAAAGAGGAATTTTGAAGCTATAGTAAATGATTTTTTCATTTTGATTACGGAAATTTTTAAACAAATCAAAAGCACATAGAAGTGCATAATGAGTCTTCATGAATCCAGTTTCCACTCTGACATTGTTTTGAAGCAAATGTCAGATAATATAATTTCATTCATAATTAAATATGTGTATCTAAAAGGTAAGGACTCTTTAAAGAGAAAATACTTAATCACAATATCATTATTATGCCTAAAAATTTAACAATAATCTTTGATTACCATCAAATATCTGTCAGTCTTCAAATTCCAATTGTCTCATAAATGATATAATTTTTTACAGTCTGTTTGACTCAAGATCTAAATAAGGTTCACAAATTGAGATTAGTTGGTGTATTTAAATCCCTTATAATTTGTAGATTCCCTACCTCCATTTCTTTCTTTTATTCTTTCCATCTATATGTTTTTTTTAAAGATTTTATTTTATTTATTTGAGAGAGAGAGAATGAGAGAGAGAGAGAGCACGAGAGGGAAGAGGGTTAGAGGGAGAAGCAGACTCCCCGCTGAGCAGGGAGCCCGATGCGGAACTCGATCCAGGGACTCCAGGATCATGATCTGAGCCAAAGGCAGTCGCCCAACCAACTGAGCCACCCAGGCACCCTCCATCTATATGTTAAAGAAATGGATCATTTGTCCTCTAGAGTTTTGCAGGCAAGATTTTACTGATTAAATACCCATGTTTTTATTTAATATGTTCCATTGTCTTCTCTATTTCCTTAAATGGGGAATTTGGGTCTAAGACTTATCAGAATTACTTTTTTGGGGGGGAGAGTATTCCATAGGTAATGATGATCATCAGGAGGGACACAATGTCTGGTTTGTATGATATTTTACATGTCATTTTCTAGGGGCACCTGCCTGGCTCAGTAGAGCGTGTGACTCTTGATTTTGGGATTGTAAATTTGAGCCCCACTTATTTTTAAGTGTAGAGATTAGTTAAAAATAAAATCTTAAAGGGGTGCCTGGGTGGCTCAGTCGTTAGTTAGGCAGACGCGTCTGCCTTTGGTTCAGGTCATGATCCCAGGGTCCTGGGATTGAGCCCCACATCGAGCCCCACATTGAGCCCCACATCGGGCTCCCTGCTCCTCGGGAGGCCTGCTTCTCCCTCTCCTGCTCTCCCTGCTTGTGTTCCCTCTCTTGCTGTGTCTCTCTCTGTCAAATAAATAAAATCTTAAAAAAAAGTCTTAAAAAATAAATGTCATTTTCTAAATTATATCAATACTTCAAAATAAAATAGATTTTTCTATATTGAACTTGTATCTAAGAATCTTGCTAAATTTGCTTATCAATCCTAAAAGTTTATCTGTAGATGCTTTTCCAAAAGCATATTGTGATATCCTACACAATCATATTGTCTGCATATGATAACTTTATTTCTTCCTTTCTAATCCTATGACTTTTATTTCTTCTCCTTGCTTTATTACATGGATTAGGATTCCCAATTCAATATTCAATAGATAGTGGAGATTTTTATCTTCTTTTTTTTATGTAGAGGAAAGTTTTCTTTAATTCACCATTTATGTATAACGTTTACTGTGTGGTTTTTGTAAATATTGTTTAGCAGATGAAGAAAGTTCCCTTTTACTTCTGGTTTGTTAAGAATTTTAGCATGAATGGCTATTGAATTTTATCGATGATTCTGCCTTTTCTGCCTCTATTTAGATGTTCATATGGTTTTTCTTGTTTATTCTGTTAAAGTACTGAATTACAATGGATTTTTAAAATATTAAACCAACTGTGAATTCCTGAAATAAATATAACATGTTTGTGATATTGTTCATGATCCTTTTTATATATTGTTGGATCAAGTTTGCTGATATTAAGTTTAGGAATTTTGCATGTGTGTTCATGAAAGAGACTGAGCTGTAATTTTCCTTTCTAATAATGTGTTTATCAGATTTTGGAATCAAGGTTAATTCAGCATCCTAAAGGAAAGGGAGAAGTAACGTTTCTTTTCTCCCTCATTAGCATAACTAAGGCATTCCTATCACTCAGGAAATTCCAAGGGTTTTTGGTGAAGCTCTGTGTCAGGAATCTGGGACGAACACCAGATATGTTCTTTATTATAACACCACACGGACACACACATACATATAGGCACACACACCACACAGACACACACACACACAAACGAGAGCTAGAGAAAGAGAGTTGTTGAAAAATTGGCTGATATTAATATACTTGTGGGGGCTGACAAATCCAAAATTCTTGAGGCAGGCTGGAAACTTAGGCAGGGTTTCTATGTTCATCTTTTTTTAAAAAAATTAAATTAAATTATTATTTTTTAATTGAAGTATAGTTGACACACAATGTTACATTAGTTTCAGATGTACAACATAGTAATTCAACATATGTTTCAATTTTGAGGCAGAATTCTTTCCTTTTCAGAAAACCTCACTCTGCTCTAAGACCAGCAACTGATTGGATGATGCCTGCTTACATGATGGAGGCTGATCCACCTTGTTTAAAGTCTACTGATATTATTTTTCTTAAATATTTTTTTCTGGGGCACCTGGGTGGCTCAATCGGTTAAGCACCTGCCTTCGGCTCAGGTCATGATCCCATGGTCCTGGGATTGAGCCCTGCACTGGGCTCCCTGCTTAGTGGAGAGCCTGCTTCTCCCTCTCTCTCTGCCTGCCTCTCTGCCTATTTGTGCTCTCTCTCTAGCTCTCTGACAAATAAATAAATAAAATCTTTAAAAAAAATAAATATTTTAAAATATTTTCATTTATTTGTCAGAGAGAGGGAGATAGAGAGAGGCAGGCAGAGGGAGAATCAGGCTCCCCAGCAAGCAAGGAGCCTGATGCAGAACTTGATATTGGGGTTGTAAGTTCAAGCCCCATGTTGGGTGGGGACATTATGTTAAAACGAAATCTTTAGGGGCAATTGGGTGGCTCAGTCGGTTAAGCATCTGACTCTTGATCTCAGCTCAGGTCTTGATCTTGATCTTTATCTTGATCTTAGGGTTGTGAGATCAAGCCCTGCATTGGGCCCAGTATGGAGCCTACTTAAAAAAATACAACCGATTTTTGTGTGTTGATACTGTATTCTGTAACTTTGCTAACTTCATTTATTAGTTCTAATTGGGTTTTTTTTGTGTGTGTATTCTTTAGGATTTTCTGTAATAAGATTATGTCATCTGTGAATAGAGATAAGAGATTGTTTAACATTTTCCTTTCCAATTTAGATGGCTTTTATTTTTCTTACCTAATTTCTCTGGTTGGAGTTTCTAGTACAATGTTAAAGAAAAGTAGTGAAAGTGAGCATCCTTGTCTGTTCCCTACCTTAAAAGGAAAGCTCTCAATCTTTCACTATTAAGAATGATATTAGCTGTGGGTTTTTCATTAATACCCTTTACTCTATTGAGGAAGTTCCCTTCTCTCCCTAGTTTGTTGAGTGTTTTTATTTTTATTTTTTAAATCATGAATGGGTATTGGATTTTGCCAATCCTTTTTCTCCATCAATTGAGATAATTGTTCAGTTTTTTTCTCCTTCGTGTTATTCATGTGGTGTATCACATTTGTTTACTTTCTTACGTTGGATCCACCATTCTTGGGAGAAATCTTGCTTTTAACACTTTTATCCAACATTGTTTAGCTAAAACATTTGGCAATACTATGAATAATATTGTGTAGGCTCTTATAATACAATCTCAGAGACTGATGTCCTGATTCAAAAGGGAGAAATAAAAATTGTTTTATTTGAAATGGTAACAAATGTCATTTCTGCCTTTAAAATGGCCTGGAACATGCTTGCAAAAAACCCAGGAGTTTACAAACTACTGATTAGGAAATTCTGACCTAAAGGATAAAATAAAAATTCTACCATTTGGCAAAATCTGGGCTTCCACTTATATTTTCAGCTTCATCTCTTACTACTTAGCAAAAGTACACCTAACAATCATGCCGTTATAATCTTCTTGGTGATGTTCCCACTTGCCTGGAATGCTCTTTCTTTACCTGAAAACTTTCTGCTGATTCTACAAACTCCAGGACAAATGGCAACTTCTTGAGTAATTTTCCCCTTCTCTCCCAGGAAGTCAATCATTGTCCTTTTATTCTCCAACACTTATTATTTCTGTTTCAGCATTTACCACACGATATTATAACTTAGCTGTTTAGACATCTGTTCTCCCTATTAATGTGAATTTCCAGAACACTGAGGTCATATTTATCTTTGTAGTCCTAGCACCCAACATAATGCCTAGAACTTAATAAGTACTCATTACATGATTTATGAATAAGTGAACGGGGTGGCATTTGTTGCTGTGGTTATGGACACCAACTGTATCAATATTTGTGTCTGTAAGAGGAAATGTGCTGTTGATTTTCTAACCTAGAACATTTTCTGATTTTATTTTTTCTTTTTGTGCCTCTCTAGACTTCAAAGCAGCATAAATTGAAAAAGATCCAGAAACTCACAGGTCAGAAAGATCCTATCCTTTATACTTCAGTTCAAGGCTAAATGACAAATCAACAGTGGGTCTGCTTTAAGACTCCAGACTTTAATAACAGGTGGAGGGAGGGAGGTTGAAAAAGATTACATAAGTGAAAGAAATGTGCTTATTCTTTCTAGCAACTTCCAAAGAGATGTAAACAGATTTACAATTCTTCCTATGCTTCTTTTCCTCATGCTTTCTTTCCTAATTTCCTCTCGTGCAAAACTCAAAGTTTCAGGAAAGAAAATTGGTGAGATTAGTGTTTAGTGCAGGAAGTTTCAATACTTTTTTCCCTGTCATGGGCTCTGGATAGACTCCTTTGGAGGAAAAAATATGTGTTATGAACTTTTGTTTCCCCTACTCCAACTCCCTACTACCATGATTGTTCCTGCTCTTTCCAATGGCTTAATCTACTATATGGTGAAGGCAGCATAGTATAGTTCAAAGTATAAAAACTTGAGACCTGGGTTAAGTCTGAGCTCTACCACTGATTAACTTTATGAACCCGCACATGATTTCACCTTTTCTTATTTGTGAAATAAGGGGGTGGAACAAGGTGGTATCAACAATTAGGATGCTAAAAGCTTCTTTACCTCTGCTCCCAGCTTCCCAGTGGGAAGAAAATCTCAGGATGGTTTGCCCTGAAGCTAATCTGACACAGTGAGTAAAGTTGATCTTCACTATCAAGTCTTTCTCTCTCCAGGCAAACCTACTGATAAACTCTGTAAAGTTTAGGAGAAAGGTACCTAGTATTGTTTTACTTCCCTCACGATAACAGCTATTTCCTTTCTAAGTTAAGTCCCCCTTCTTATTGGTTTCCTTACTAGTACTTTAATATCACTTCAATTACATTGACACACCCTGTTGTATCCAGCTTTTCAGGACTCCCCGTGGGATGGGCCCAGGAATATATACTCTGGTCAATGGACAGAAGTCTTCAACAGATCTTCCAACATCTGGAATGTGCAAGGTCAGAGAAGGTAGTTTCTGGGAGGAAGTTGAAGGTGGTGGAAGTTTTTGTTTTAAGTAAACTCTACCCCCAATGTGGGGCTTGAACTCACAACCCTGAGATCAAGAATTGCATGCTCTACCAACTGAGCCAGCCAGGCACCCCAAAGGTGGTAGAACTTTTAAGAGGGAAGGAGGAAGAGACTGAAGAAGGGACGTAGTAGAGAGGGAAGGAGGGTTGGAAAGAGAGAGGGGAAAAAAGAGATTGTTGGTTGGTTGGTTATTTACTTAGTTTTGGCAGTGGGGATAAATTCTGGGTCCAAAGGTTTAAGAACAACTGGTCTATGGATCATTTCTGATTGGTAGAGGATCATTTCCTCCTGGTAGAGGAATTCTATCCATAATAGATGGATATTGATATTGGGGAAAGCAACCTCTTTTGTTGTTGTTGTTCTCCCTCAGGCCAAAATATTTCACATTTGAAATAGCCAGTATCTTTCCCTTTTCCTACCTTTTTCTGCTTCAAAGCAAATGGAAACTTTTCTTTATTTCTTAGATCAAGTCTTATGGAATCGTGTTTGCCTGAACCACAGGATATGATTTCTTCCTCCACCTCTTCTGTGCTTGTGGCTCAGGAGCCTATTCTACCCTGTTGTGGCTGTAAGAAGGCAAAACATTCTACAGACCACAGCATCTCCTCTGGATCATCATGCAACAACTCCAGCCTGTCACACCTTCCTGTCTTTTCTGAAGGAACAACCTGGAAACTCCGGAGCCATAGTTTACCTCTTTTACCCAAAAACCAGTCTTCTGTGTTCAGGAACCAAGGCACATCCCTACGTCCTTTTCAGCTCTCAGGGTTTGGGAAATCAAAACTTTTTCAGAATTTGGCAGCTCTTTCACCCTTAAGATCCCAAAGCTCTTTTACCAACTCTGTGTTTGAATCTCCAGATCTCTGCCAACAAGAAAAAACAAAGAATGGGAGAGAGAGCAAGAGACATTGGACATTGGATCATGGGCCAGATTTTATTTTCAAGGCAAGACCACGATTCTCGGGATGGGCTCCAATCCGACTCTCTCCTTTGGCTAGGTGGGAGTTAGAGGGACATATGGCCTGGAAGGTTTATACTTTGAGGGAACAAACAGTGCCTCTGCCCGTGAGGGAATCATGGGCAATGCTGAATTATTTAATTGAGGCACAAGGAGGAGTTCCTGAACCAGAGAAACCTCAAATCCAGGTATCTATTCCCATTCATCAAAGCACTGAACAAGGTCTCAACAATAAATCCCCAAACTGTCCATCATTTCAGCTCCATGTGAATATTGGAGTGGAATCTGGATTAAATAGAACAGAAACAAAAATTTCACAGTCACTTATCCCAGGTAAGCAGTCACAACCTGGGGACAGCCCCCAAATCCTTGAAACCAGGCCCTTAGTTACATCTTTGGGCACTCCACCTCCCAAAAGTTTAGGAGCAGACATAATTCAAGAGGAAACCACTTTACTGCAGAAGGAGCCAAAACATGTCCTGGAACCTAATATAGAGCAGAGGGTCATAAATCTTCCAGAAAAAAGGATACAACAGCGTAAGACCCACGTGACTAATGTGGAGTTGACCCCAAGGCTACCATATCAAGTTACAGATAGCATAAAGGTAACTCCTTTGGCATTACTTCAAGTCATGGATTCAATGGGGTTGATCCCAGAATCACATTCAGAAGTGATAGAATCTGTGGGTTTGTTCTCACAGCCACCAGACAAAGTTGGGAAACCAATGGAAACCATGAAAAAAGTGAATGTAAGCACAAAACCATCATATCAAGTCACTGAATCAGTGGAGGTAACACCAAGTCCTCAGCATCAAGTTATGAAATCAAAGATGACCTCAAGACCACTGAATCAAGTCACAGATAATATGAAGGTAACTCCTGTAGCATTGCTCCAAGTCATGGATTCTATGGGGATGATTAATAAGTCACATGCACATATCATAGAATCAGTGGGAATAACCCCAAGAACATCATCTCAAGCCATGGAATCAGGGGAAATCAACACATTGTTGGACCATGAAGTCATACCACCAGGAAAGATGAGTCCAAAGGCACAACATGCAGTTGTGGAAAGTGTGGAAATCACTGTAGGACCGCAGCCTGAAGTTAGTGATTCAGTGGACATAACCTCAAAGCCACCAAGTCAAATCATAGAACCACTGAAGTTTCCTTCAGAGCCAGTATGTCAAACCACAAGACCACTGGAAATGATCTCCAGTCCATTGCATCAAGTTATGGATTACACAAAAGTAACTCCAGTGGCACTATTACAAGCTATGGATTTCATGGGGATAATTCCACCAGCACAGCCACATATTATAGAATCTGGAGATTCACAATCTAAAATTGCAAATTTGGCCCCAGGAGCAACTCAGCCAGATGGTTTGACTTCTTTTAGCTCTCCTCCTACTATTGGTCCACCTGGAGTTGTAGAATCTGTGGGTTTACCCCTAAAGCCCCCACTTAAAGTTACAGAATCAGTAGGGATGATTCCAAAGCCATCACATCAATCCATACATTCTTTAAAGGTAGCTCCAGTAGCACTGGAGTCACCCATGGGAATGATCATAGCACCACAATCACAAGTTGCGGAAACTCAGGATTTGACCACAAGGCCAGTATCTCAAGTCAAGGAATCTCTGGAGTTGACTCCTGGGTCATGGATTCAAGTGCTAGACTCTGTGGAGATGACTCCACAACCATATCATCAAGGCACAGAAACTATGGAATTAACCCCAGGGCTACCTCATCAAGTCATGGAATCTCCAAGGTTGACCCAGTGGCATCAAATCTTAGAATCTTCAGAGATGAGTCCAAGGCAAAGCCGTCAAATTATAGAAACCATGGAGTTGGCCTCTGACCCTGTAATCAGAAATCTGACTGGGTCGACACAGTCACAGCATCAAATAATGGAACCTTTAGGGACAGTCCCAAGGTCACTGGGTCAAAGCACAGCATCTAAGGGAATGAGCCAAAAGCCACTGCATCAAGTCACAGAATCTGCAGGAATGACCACCCCATCACTGCTTCCAGGTGTAGAATATTTGGGGGTGAAGCCAATGCCACAACTTAAGGCTATGGATTCTATGAAGTTATCCCCAGGATTGCAAAATGTAAAGTCCGTAGACATAACCCCAGGTCCAGTCCCACAAATGGTAAAATATGGACAGCCAATCCCAACTGTGAACCCTATAGAATTGGTCCCAGAACTTCAACTGCAGATTGTAAAATCAAATGAGTTGGCCCCTATTCCACAGCTGGAAAGTGAGAATTCTGTGCAGTTAGCCCCAGGGTCTCAGCTTCAGGGTGTGAAATCTATTCATTTAACCCTAGGAACACAACAACAAAGTGGAAAATCTGCTGAGTTAGCCCCAGCACCACAGTTGCAAAAAAGGAAGTCAATAGATTTGAACTCCAGTTCACGGTTGCAAGGTCTGGAATATGTTCATTTGGCCCTACCACCAGAGTTTCCAGATATAAAAGCTGTGGAGTTGACCCTAAGACCACTACAGAAAGATATGAAATCCATGGAGTTGGCCCCAAAGCCATGGTTACAAGATGAAAGATCTAAGGAGAAAGCCCCCGTATTATTGCTTAAAGATATGAAAATTCCTCAAATGGTAGGATGTAGAAAGTTGATTCCCAAAACACAGGTAGAGGGTATGAAATATGAGGAGCCGATCTCAGCGGCCCCCATTCAAGCAGTAAAATCTGTAGAGCTGAACCTCATGCCAAATCATCAAGCCAGAGAACCTGAAGGATTGACCCCATGGCATCAAGCTTTAGAATCTTCAGAAATGATCACAGAGCCGGGATATCAAGGAGCAGAAGCAGAGGTGACCTCTGACATTTGTCGCCACAGGAAAGAATCTATGGAGTTGAAAAAATCATCTTTAAGAAGTACTCCAGGGCCATTGAGTCAGACTTCAGAATCTATGCAGGTGAACTCGGTGCCATTCCAAAGTGCTCTTGAGACAATGCTCCAAGGTGTAAAAGCCTTGGAGACTCGAGGGTCTCAACACATAATACAAGAATCTCCAGAGTTGGTACCAGGATCAGAGATGCAAGAAATGAACCCAGAAGTGTTGAACCCAGAGTCCCAAGGTATGAAGGTTGTTCATCTGAATCTAGGACCATATTCAGAATTTATGAACTATAAGGAGTTGACCTCAGAACCACAATTTCAAGGTGTGAAATCTGTGCCATTGACCTCAGAACCGCAGCCCCAAAGTACAAAACCTGAGGTGTTGACTCTAGGCCCATTAATGCATGGTAATACATTTATGGATTTAACTGTACCAGTGGAAGAATCTAGGAGATTAATTCCTGAAACACACTTACATGTTGAATCAAGGAAACTAACCATGGAACCACATTTACAAGCAATGAAATCTGTGGGTCCAACTTCTAGACCAAGGCATCAAGACACAGCATCTGCAGAGTTATCTTCTGAGACCTGGCCACAAGAGGAGGAATCTGTGAAATTAATCCCACAGCAAGTCGTGGAAACTACTGGGATGATGCCCAGGCCATGTTTTCAAAAATTTTCAGAGATGACTCCGGGGCCAGGCTATCAAGACACAGAAACTGCGAGGCTGGTTTCTGAGGCTTTGCTCCAAGTGACATTAACACAAAAACCAACAGGTCAAGTTATAGAATCTACAGGAATGACTCTAAAACCACACCTTCAAGTTTTTGAGCCTTCAGAGATACCCCTAAGGTCAGAATATGAAAACACAGAATCTTTTGGGTTGGCATCGTTTCAAGTTGAAAATATCCAGGAGACAATGCCAGTACCACCATATTCAGTAAAAGGATCTCCAGAATTGACTTTAGGACCAGGGATGCAATATGAGAAATCAGAGACACTAATGCAAAATTTGAAATCTGTGACGTTAACCCCTGAGTCATCCCCATTAGTGGTAGGATCTAAACAATTTATCACAGGACCAAAACTACATGTTCTGGAGCCACAGTTCCAGGGAGTAAAGTCTATGCAGCTGGATCCAGAGCCACAATTACAGGATGTGGAATATGTTAATTTAATCCAACAACCAGCTACTACTGGAATGGTAGAATCTGAGAAGCTGGTACAAGAACCAGTACTACAAAGTATAATATCAGAGGAATTGACTAAGGGGGCACAGCTTCAAGGTGTGAAATTGACCCCAGGGCCACATTTACAAAGTGTCAGATTTTCAAAGTCATCGCCAGGGCCACTTCTTCAAGGAGAAAAACCTGTAGATTTAATCTCAGGGTCACTACATCATAGTGTGAAATCTGATGAACTGACCCCAGATTCCCCAATGCAAGAAATCAAATTGTCAGATTTTATCCCAGGGCCGAAGCATCAAAGTGTTATGTCTGTACAATTGTCTCCAGAACCACAAACTCAAGGTATGAAATTTGTGGAACAAAACTCAGGACCATGCTTGCAAGATGTCAGGTTTTCTGATTTGACCTCAGCACCAAATCATCAAGGTTTCAAACATGTGCAGTTTATACCGGGAACACAGCTTCAAGATATACAGTCCTTAGGATTTGTAACAGAATCATCTTTGCAATCAAGCCAAGGGCTCTTGAGTGAAAATACGAAATCTCTTCTGTCTGTTGAAGGATCACAGTTTCACAGCATGGAATCTATGAAATTGACCTCAGAACTACAGTTTCAAGGTGTGAAGTCTCAGGAATTGAACCTAGGACCAAGACAGCAAGATGTCAAATTTTCTGAACTGACTTCAGGGCCAAAGCTTCAAGGTGTCAAATTTGGGGAGCAAACCCCAGGATCAGTGTTTCAAGGTGTGAATTCTGTGGAGATGACTCCAGATTTAGGGCTTCAAGAATTTAAATTAGCAAAGACGTCTCCAGGGCCTCAAGATATAAAACAGGCGGGGCTTAACCCAGGGCCATGGCTACAAGATGTCAAATTTTGTGATCTGACATTAGGAATTCAACCTGAAGGTGTGAAATCTTCAGACTTAAACTCAGGGCCACAACTCCAATATGCGAAATTTTTTGAGTTGTCCCCAAAGCCAAAGATGCAAGGAGTAAGATCTATGGGGTTGTCCCCAGGACCTCAAAAGCAAATGGTCAAGCCTGAGATGTTACCAGAGACACTGTTTCAAGGTGTAAAAAATTTAGTGATGGATCAAATGTCAAATCTGGAAGGTAACATTTCTTATAAAATTGTCTCCCAGCCACAGAAACCAGATGCAAAATCTATGGAGTTGACTCCTGAGTCACAGTTGCCAAGTGTAAACTATTCTGAGTTGACTAGAAGACCACAGTTTCAAGGTATAAAATCTTCTGAATTGATCCAAGGGCCACAGGTGGGAGGTGTGAAACCAATGGACCTGACCCCAGTGGGCTCAAAACTTCAAGGTTTAAAATCTGAGTTGTTGATCTCTGAGCTGAAAGATGTGAAATCTATGGCCTTAACTACAGGACAGTGTCTAAAAGGTATGAAATCTATGTTGCTAACCCCCAGTCCACAGCTGGAGGGTGAGAAATCTGTGGAGATAACTGCAGTACCATGGATAGAACATGTCAAATCTGTGAAAAACACCGAAGATACCAAGCTTCAAGGTGCAAAATCTGACTTGATTCTGCATGCAAGAATTCAAGAATCCAAAGCTGTGGAAACTGTGGGATTGAAATTTGGGCCAAAGATGCAAGGTGAGAAATCTGTGCCTTTTGCACCAGGGCCATTGCTCCAAGGGTCTGAACTGCAAGGTGTGAAACCTGAGGAACTGACTTTAGAGCCACAAACGCAAGATACAAAATTTGTCGACAGTACCCCATGTTTAAAGCATCAAAATTTAAAATCTGTAGAGGAAACTCTAGATTCAGAGCAGCAATGTGTAAAATCTGTGAAGTTGACCCCAAGGCTAAAGAACCAGGAAGTAAAATCTGTGAAAGTGACCAGAAGACCAAAGTTTCAAGGAGTAAAAGCTGTGGATTTAGCCCCAAGGCAACAGTTTCAAGGGATGGCACTTGCAAATTTAATTTCTGGACTGGAACAGGATGGCACGATATCTGTAATCTCACCAAAGCAGCAATGTGTGAATTCAGAGCAATTGAAGAGAGGGGCTAAGTCAGATGATGGGATGTCTTTGGAGTTAAGTCCAGAGCTAAAACTTGAAGGTAAAAAATTAGTAGACCTCAATTTTGAGTTACAGTTTGAAAGTATGAAATCATTTGAATTGACTTCAGAATCAAATAGTCAAGGTTTAAAACCTAAAGAATTCAAACTTGAACCACTTGAACCACAGTTGCAAAGCATAAAGTCTCCTAAGTTGACCCCAGGGCCACCGTTGCACCAAATAAAACCCTCAGAGTCAGCTTCAGAACCACAACTTTGTGTAAAAACTGCTGAGTTAAAACAAGAGCCACTGCTTGAAAGTATGAGATGTATTCAGTGGATACCAGGACCTAAGTTCCAAGCTGTGAAATCTGTAGAGTTAAATCTCGGGTCACAGTCTCAAAGTGTTAAATCTGTAGGGTTGAAATCTTCGATACAGTTAAGAGATATGAAGTCATCTGAATTGACTCTAGGGCCAAAACCTCAAGGTGCAACATATACAGGGTTCAACCTTGGGCCACAGCTGCAGAACGTGAAAACCCCTGAGGTGCTCCCAGGACCACAGCTGCAAAAAGGGAAGGCTTTGGCATCAACCTCAGAGCCACAGCTTCAAGATGTAAAAACTATTGAGTTAAAAAAAGAGCCACAGCTGGAAAGTATGAGATGTATTCAGTGGATACCAGGACCTGATTTCCAAGGTGTGAAGTCTATAGGGTTACAATCTCAAGGTGTCAAGTCTGTAGGGTTGAAATCTTTGATACAGTTAAGAGATAGAAAGTCATCTGTGTTGACTCCAAGGCCAAAGCTCCAAGATACAGGATCTTTGGCGTCACTCCAGGAACATCAGCCTCAAGATTGTGATTTGAAACCTTGTCTACAGGTTAGAAGTGTGAAATCATGTGATCTGACTTCAGGGTCAAAGCTCTGTGATATGAAATCTATGCCATTGAAATCTAGGCTTTGTGTGCATGATAGGAAATCTCCTAAATTGACTGCAGAACCAAAGCTTCAAGAAGTGAAACCCTTACAGTCATCCCCAGGAGCGCAGCTTCAAGTTGTGAAGTCTCTAGTACTTACAGAAGAGCCACAGCTTCCTGACATGAAATCTGGGGTATTAAGCCAAGGGTCACAATTACAAAGCAGTACAACTATAGAGTTGAACTCCCCACTACACTTGAAAAGCATGAAGTCATCTGAGTTGACTCTTCAGAGAAAGCTTCAAGGTATGAAATCTGAGAATTTCAACTCAGGGTCACAGTGGCAAGATCTAAAATCTTCTAAGTTGTCACCTGAGATAAAGTCCCAAGATATGACATTTACTGAGTCAAATCCAAGTTCACAGTTGGAAGGTATAACATTTTCTAAGCTGACTGCAGGGACAAAGATTCAAGGTACCAAATGTACAGATTTCAACCTTGGGCCATCATTACAAGGTGTGAATTCTAAAAGGACCTCAAAGACAAAGCTTCAAAATGTAAAACATAAAGAAAGCTGCCCCAGTCCCCAGGTGCAAGTTGTGAAATCTGACCTGAGCCTGGGATCAGAGCTTCAAAATGTGAAATTGGTGTTCAACCCTGAGCCACAATTTCAAGGAGTGAAATGTTCTAAATTAATCTCAGAAATGAAGTTTCAAGATGTGGAATCTGCGAAGTTCAAACCTGGGCCACAGCTGAGAGGTGTGAAATCTTCTGAATTGATACTAGGGACAAAACTTCAAAAAGTGAAATCCATGGATTTGAAGTCAGGCCCACAGTTGCAAGATATGAAATCTTCTAGGTTGATCATGGGTATAAAACTTCAAGATGTAAAATCTATGAATTTCAAGTCTGGACCACACTTGCAGGATGTGAAATCTTCTCAAGTCATCGCAAGGAAAAAGTTTCAAGGTGTGAAATCTGTGGAACTGAAATCTAGTCCAAAGTTACAAGGTGAGAAATCTTCTGATTTGACCCCAGGGAGGAAGTTTTCAGGTGTGAAATCAGGCCCACAGTTACAAGATGTGAAATGTTCTGAGTTGATCATGGGTATAAAGCTTCAAGATAAAAAATCTGCAGGGTTCAGTTCTAGATCACACTTTCAAGGTCTGAAATCTTCTGAAGTGATCCCAGGGCCAAAGCTTCAAGAAGTGAAATCCTCTGAGTTCAACCATGGTCCAAAGCTACAAGGTGGGAAATCTGATTTGACTCAGAAGAGGAAGCTTCCAGGTGTGAAATCTGTGGAGTTCAACCCTGGACCACAGAGACAAGGTGAGAAATCTGATTTGATGCTAGAGTATAGGCTTCAAGATTTGCAATCTGTTGAGTTAAAACCTATTCCGCAGTTACAAGGTGTAACATCTTCTGAGTTCACACCAAAAACAAAGCTTCAAAGTGGAGAATCTGTGGAGTTCCTTACCAGACCCATGTGGCAAGATATGAAATCTCTTGAATTGACTCTAGGTGCAAAGGCCCAAAATATGAAATCTTTGGGGTTTGAGTCAGCCCCACAGTTACAAAATAGGAAATTGCCTATGTTGACACCAGAGGCACACCTTCAAGGTATGAAATCTATGAAATTCAACCCTGGGGCAAAGTTCCAAGGTGCAAAATCTCCTGAGTCCATAAAGCTTCAAATAATGAAAACCACAGAGGTCAACCATGACCTAGAATTCCAGGTTGCAAAACCCTCTGAGTTAGCCTTGGAATCCAAGATTTGCAGTGTGATATCTTCTGAGTTCAAAGCTGGGAAGCAGTGGCAAGAAGAGAAATCTTTTAAGTTGAAACCATGGCCAGAGCTTCAGAGTGTGAAATTTGTGGTCTACAATCCTGGACCACATTTGCAACATATAAAATCTTCAGAATTATGTAAAGAGACAAAGCTTCAAGATGTGAAATCTAGGGAATTCAATCCTGAGCAACAGTTACAAGATGTGAAATCTGAGTTATGCCAGGGATCAAGGCTTCAAGGTATGCCATCTTTAGAGTTCAATCCTGGGCCACAGTTACAAGAGATAAAATCTGAGTTGTGTACAGACATGAAGCTTCCATATGAGCAATTTCTGGAATTCAAGCATCAGCCTAAATTACAAGGTGGGAAATCCTCTGAATTGAATCCAGGGCCACGGCTTCAGTGTGTAAATGTTAGGGCATTCAGCACTGGGCCACAATTGAAAGGTATAAAATCTGAGTTGAATCCTGGGCCAGAGCTTCAAGGTATAAAATCCCAGGTGTTCTGCCTTGGGCCACCTTTACAAGGTGTGAATTCTTCTGCGTTTATTTCAAAACCAAAATTTGGATGCAACTCTGAGCCACCCTTGCAAGGTATAAACCCTTCTGAATTAACTTCAGTATCAAAACTTCAAGGTACGAAGTCTTCTGAGTTGAGTTCAGGGACAGAAATTCCAAGGGAGACATCTATGGTGTTCAACCCTGAACCACATTTGCAAAGTTTGAAATCTGAATTGATTCCAGGGTCAAAGTTTTTTGGTGTAGCACCTACGGAATGCAACCCTGAGCCACAGATGAAGTGTGTAAATTCTTCTAAGTTGAATCCAGAGCCAAAATTACAATGTGTAAATTCTATGGGGTGCAAACTTGGGCCACCTTTGCAAGGTATACAGTCCTTTGAATTGACTTCAAGGACAAAATGTCCAGGTATGGGATCTGAGGTGAATCCAGGGACCAAGAATCAAAGTGAGACATCTATGGTGTTCAGCCCTGAACCACATTTGCAAGGTTTGAAATCTGAATTGATTCCAGGGTCAAAGTTTCTTGGTGTAGCACCTATGGAATGCAACCCTGGGCCACAGATGAAGTGTGTAAATTCTTCTGAGTTGAATCCAGAGCTAAAATTACAATGTGTAAATTCTATGGGGTACGAACTTGGGCCACCTTTGCAAGGTATACAGTCTCTCAAGTTGACCTCAGGGGTTAAATGTCAAGGTATGGGATCTTTTGATTTGAATCTGGGGTCAGAAGTTCTAGGTATAAAATCTGTTATGTTCAACCCTGTGCAACATTTACAAAATGTGAAATGTGAATTGACTCCAGGGACAAAGTTTCAAGATATAACATCACGGGAATTCAACTGTGGCCCACAGCTGCAAGGTGTGAATTCTTCTGATTTGAATTTAGGGTCAGAACTTCAATGCATAAATTCTATAAAGTTTAATCCAGGGCCACAGATGCAAGGCATGAAACCCTCTGAATTGAACCCTACATCAGAATATCAAGGTACAAAATCTATTCTGTTCAAACCCGGGCCACATTTGCAAGGTGTAAAATCTTCTGAGTTAATTCCAGGGACAAAGTTTCCAGAAATCCAGTTTTTGGAGAATCACTGTGGGTCACAGCAACAAGTTGTGCAGTCAGTGTTCACTTTAGGCTCTCCATTAAATGGTATGAAATCTCTCTTATTTTTACCGGAGCCACTGCTTAAAGATGTAAAGTTTGGGAAGATGAACAAAGAGCCATTGCTTTGTGATGCAAATTCTGTGAAACTGATTTCAGGCTCTGAGCTGCAGAATTTGAAATGTGAGATGTTTGCACTAGAGCCATGTTTAAAAGAAATGAAATCTGTGGCGTTAAATCCAGGGCCACATCCTCAAGGTATGAATTCTGGGGACTTGCCCTCACACCTCAGGCAGCACAGTGTGAGATCTGTGGTGTTTGCACCAAAGCTGTGTTTTCAAGATGTGAAATCTCTGGAATTGAAACCAAGGCCACAACCTCAGGATGTGAATTCTAAGGATTTGATTTCTTGCCTCAGGCAGAAATCCGTGGTGTTTGAATCAGAGCCATGTTCTCAAGATGTGAAATCTTTGAAGTCAAACCTATTGCCACAGCCTCAAAGTGCTAATTCTTTAGGGTTGTCATCACGTCTAAGGTCACCAAGTGTTAACTCTGAGGTCTTTGCACCAGAACCATGTTTTCAAGATGTGAAATTCGTAGAGTTGACACCAGGGTCCCAACAGCAAGGTATGAATTGCCGAGAGTTGATTTCAGGATGGCAAGGTATGAAATCAGTGGTGTTGGCACCAGAGCCAAATAAGAAGTTCATACCAGGACCAATGTTGAGTAGTGTTAAATTTTCAAATTTGTCTCTAGAATCAGAGCAACAAGGTCAGAAACCTTTGGAGTTTACTCCAGAACCAAAGTTTCAAAGTATAAAACATGTGAAATTGTCTTCAGTATCTCTGCAACAAGATATAAAATCTGTAGAGTTACCACTGGGGTCACTGCTTCAAAGAACAAAATCTGAGGAGCTAACTCCAAAAAGAAGCTATCAAATCACAGACTCCTCTGAGATAATCCCTAGGCCAGAGCTTCAGTTTGTAGAACATGCAGAGATGATCCCAACACCAAAGCATCAGATCTCTAAATCTGTGAATTTGATTTCAATACCAGTTTATCACATCACAGAAAGGCTGGCACATCAAGGCAGAGAAACTGTAGAAAAATCTGTGGGGTTCACCCCAAAGCCAGCAAGTAAAGCCATGGAATCTTCAGGAGTGCCTCTAAGGCTAGATCTTCAAGTACCAGAATCTGTTGATCTGACTCCTGTGCTAAGGAATCAAGACTCTAAATCCTTAGAGTTAACCCTAAAGAAAATCCCAGAAACTCTAGAGTTGCTCTCTCAGTCATGGCCTCAAGTTAAGGATTTGGGGGAGTCACATACAAGGCCACTGCAGCAAGTTGTAGGATCTGAAGAGATGACACCAGAGCCCAAGCATCACACTACAGAAACTATGGGGTTGACCTCCAAGGCAGGGCCAAAAGGGAAGGAATTCTTTGGAATGACCCCAAAGCCAATAAGTAAAACCACTGGATATGCAGAGAGAGTTCCAAGGCCCTATCCTCAAGCACTAGAATTTGTGGAGATGATCTCTGAGAAAAGACTGCAAAGGGAAGAATTGAAAGCACTGACTACAAAGTCATTACATCATGTCCCAGAATCTCCAGAGCTGACACCAGGGCTAGGATATCAAGTTCCTGAATCTGTGGGTTCAACCTCTAAGCAATGGCTTCAAAGAGAGGAATCTTTAGATTTGCCCCCAAAGCAAACAGGTCAAGTTGCAGGACATGCAGAATCTGGAGAGCTCACATCTGAGACATGGCAGCAAGGGGATAGATCAATGGGGCTGACACAGTCACAGAATCAACGTATGAAATATTCACAGACAGCTCCAGGACTACGGAGTCAAATTACAGAATTTATGAGGATTACTCCAAAGCCACTAGATCAAGTCACAGGATCTACAAAGATGCAGCTTCAAGCTGCTCAACCAATAGGAATAACCCCAGTAGCCCCCCCAAAAGTTATTGAATATGTGAAAGTGACTCCTGGGCCACCACTTCAGGTTGTGAAGTCTGTAGCATTAACACCAGGGCCAGCCTCTCAAATGGTAGACTATGTTGAGTTGACTCCAAAACTGCAACATGTGAGACCTTCTGAGTTTACCTCAGGGCTATGGTTGCAAAGTGTAAAATCAAAGGAATTAACCACAGAGCCAAAACACCAAATTTTGGAAATAATGAAGTTGGCAGGGTTTCAAATTGTAAAGACTGTGTTAATCCCAGGGCCACCACTTCAAATCGTAAAATCTGAGGAATTAGCACCAGGACCAATTCCTCAGATTGTAGAACCAGTAGGAGTAGCTTTAGGATCAGCTATTGATTGTTTGGATTTATTCCCAAGGCCACATCTTCAAGAAATGGTAGAACCTGTAGAATTAACTCCAAGGCCAAATACCGAAGTAAAATCTGCAGAATTACACTCACAGCCAGCATTTTCTTTTGAGGAACCTAGCGTGTTCACTCATGAACAAGGGCTTCAAGCTGTGAAAGCAATAGGGACAAAAACAGGGCTTCCTCAAAGCATGGAATGTAAGGATTTGAATCTAGCACAGGTATATCAGAATAGGGAATCTGAGGATTTTATGTCAAGAGAGGAGTTACAAATAGGAAATTATTTCTCTAGATTTCTACAGAACTCTTCAAACTCACTCATCCCAAGCTCTGTCGAAGCATCTGAATTAGGAAGCCTTTGTGATTTGGAGATGCCAGAAGTATCAAGGGCCTTGGATATTAAAAACCTTGGGACAGATATTTTGCAGCCTGAAGAGTCCTTTATAGACCCTACTATGATACGAGCTTCAACCCTTCCCTTGTCCCTTCACAATCAACCCTCTGATAAGATAGCTAACATTGTAGAAACCCCACATTTTGAGATCCCAGGAGTGGGTGTCATATCTAAGAGGATGGATAAGAAGCAGGTGGAAAAGCTAGAGAATTCACTCCAGCGCCTATCCCAACATCCACTGCAAAGCTGGCGATCACCATCTAGGACCTTCCAGTCAGGATCAGGAACTCAAAGAGGCTTTACCTCGTCTGTCCTGGGCAGACAACAGAATGTCTGGGAGAATCACTCCTGGAGACAGCGACTACCTAGAAAATATCTCTCCAACATGCTAATGCTGGGGAATGTCTTGGGAACCACTATGGAAAGGAAGCTTTGTTCTCAAACATCTTTAAGGGGAAGATGTCAATCTATTCAGAATTTATTTGGGGTTCCAGCTGAACTGATGGAATTTTCCCAGAGTCTGCTAGAGAAGAGTCGAAGTATTATTTCTCAGACTTCAGTGTCCAAAAACTACATTCAGAGACACACTTCATGCCATGGTCATGAGCAAAGAATAGCCTTAAGGATGTGGACACATAGCTCCCTGTCCTCCATAATACAGCAATACTCTGGGACTAGAACGAGAATAAAGAAAAGTTCGAAGCTCAGTGATAATCCCCAGGAAGTCATCCAGCACATGCCTGTTTTATGTACAGGGGGCCAGCCTCCTGCCCCAGTAAGTTTAGAGTCTTCCTTCAATATAGTTTTCACTAGGAAAGATTCTATTCCAGTGGAAGAGAGTAAGAACTCACAGAGTAATTCACAGACAAGGATTTTTGAGTCCCAACAGTGTCTCAAGCCAAGTTATCTTCCCCAGGCCAAGACTGACTTCTCAGAACAGTTCCAGTTGCTACAAGATCTGCAGCTAAAAATAGCAGCAAAACTGTTAAGGAGTCAAATACCCCCAAATGTACCTCCACCTCTAACTTCAGGTTTGGTTTTAAAATACCCTATCTGCCTACAGTGTGGCCGATGTGTAGGATTTAATTGCTGTCATAAATTACAGGGCACTTTTGGGCCTTACCTTCTTATCTATCCACAGCTCCACCTTGTAAGCACTCCTGAAGGCCACGGAGAGATTAGGTTGCATCTTGGCTTTAGGTTGCGAACTGGGAAAAGAACCCAAGTCCCAAAGTACCACAAAAGAGACAGACCCATCACACCAAGGAGTCCTATATCACCATCACTAAGGAAAGCTAAAGTCTATACTCGAGCTTCCAAGAGTCCTACTTCTACAATAGATTTCCAGTCTGGATCTTCCCAATCTCCTGTACAAGTCCACATCAGGCAAAGGCAGTATATCGTCCCTGACCTAGGAAAGACAGAAATTGGAGAGCTGGGGCACTATGAATTTACTCAAGTTCACTCTCTACCAGAGAGTGACTCTGAAAGCAATCAGGATGAAAAATGGGCTAGAAGGAGAACCAAAAAGACCCATAGTTCAAAATACCCAATGAAAAGAATCACTAAGGGAGGCATAACACAAAACACAAAGTTCTACACAAATGGTAGAACCACAATACGGAGTCCTTCTAGGGACTTACCAGCCCAGTTAAGAAGGAAGAGGAATGGAGCATCTCACACAATTACTGCCTCTTTAAAAAGACAATCTAAGAAATCCTCCCAACCCAAATTCATTCAGCTGCTTTTTCAAGGCCTAAAGCAAGCATTCCACGTAGCACACAGAATTATGGCTTTTGCTGGGCCAAAGCCTAAGGACAGGTCAAGGCCAGACCATTTGCGCTCAAGCAAAAACCACCATCTAAAACAAAAAGCCAGAGATTATTCCTTATCAAGAGATATCAAAAGAGACAGGATGCCAGTTGTTAAGCTAAAACCAACAGACTTAACCACTAAGCAGGAGAAGATATTATGGGAAGAAACAGAGCAATTCAGATCAGCTCAACAACCAAAAAGAGATAGCTCTTTCCAACTCAGACGTACCCAACTGCCCAAGCCCATAGTTTCCCAAAGAAGTGCCATTTTCAAAACCACTTCAGTCGGACAGTGTATGGGTATTGTTCAAAATGATAGTAGCAGCAAAGCTAAGAAAAACTTCTGCAGAAGTGAAATCTCTAGCCAGGAGTCCAAGAACTCCAAAACAGGGCCCAGAGTTCAAGCCCGAGGGAGAAATCTACATGGTTCACTTAAGAGAACCTCACAGAGTCACCTTAAAGAGAAACTCATGCCCAAGAAGCGAAACCACCATAGCTTCTTAAGGGAGAGAACCCCATGTAATTCCTCTGAAAGGAGCCATCGCAGTCCCTCTGAGAGGAGATGTCACAGTCCCTCTGAGAGGAGATGTCGCAGTCCCTCTGAGAGGAGCCATCGAAGTCCTTCTCTAAAGAGCCACC